TAGTTGTGACCACTTCAAGTAATTCTGGCCATTCAGTCTATATGTTGCCTGAATATTCTGCAAATCACCAGTGTGAGGATGAGAATTTGTTGCTCTTTCATCGGTTTGGACGGGAGCACTTGTTGCAGTCATGTCGGACATTGTTAATGGAGGAAAAAAGGAACACTTCTGGTTACAGATCAACACTGAGGGCCAGAAGAGAAAAACACAAAAAACTGGCAATGAAGGCCGGAAAAAAATCTCAAGGTTGACAAACCTGGCTCTGATACCATGTTTTGGAATGGTAGAATACTGATATGTTTCATTCTATTGCCAATTGGCATATTTATATAGTAAGCTGCTGCAATAAATAGAAAGAAAAGAAAATAGAAAGAAGAAAAAATAGAAAGAAGAGAAAATAGAAAGTACAAAAATAGAAAGAAAGAAATAGAAAGAAAAACTTTCTAAATCAATCMTTCCACAATCCTARGAATATATACAATTCTATTTTCAGATCTGAACCAGTAACCCCACGTTTTCCAACACTTCCCCTCCTGTTAACTGGTTGTAAAAAAGATTTCACGGTGAAATTCCCTGATTTTCCCAAGTCCAAACATGTGTCGCGCCTAGGCCTAGGCGCCTAGGCGGTGAAATCTATAAATATAAAATCTATATTTATACTACAATATGTTTAAGAAGAAGAAGGGAAGAGAATAGGGGTGGAGCCCCTGTTTTTTCGGAAAAAAAAAGCATTGAATCAGGGCTGGAAGAAGAAGGGAGGAGAATAGGGGCGGAGCCCCTGTTTTTTCGAAAAAAAAAACATTGAATCTGGGCTGGAAGAAGAAGAAGAAGAAGAAGAGAGGAGTTTAGGGAAAAGAACTGAAGCTGGCTGGAAGAAGAAGAAGAAGAAGCAGCAGCAGCTTACCAACTGAAGCTCAAAGTTGAGCTGGAGATGGAGCTGGAACTAGAAGCCTTCTCTTCAGTTGAGCAAAAACCCTTTCAAGACAACAAATGAAAATGAGATGTATTCTATTAGTTTGGCTTAATAATAAAATGTTAACATGTAACCAGTTGTATATTAAAACAACATAATAGCCAATAAAAATATTAGAATAATAAATATGAAAAAAATATTTCTTAACCTTATTTAGGTGCCCGCCTTGTGTTTAGGCACCCACCTAGTCGCCTAGGTGCCCGCCTAAGTCTCTGGGCGGTCGCCTAGTATACAAAACTATAGGCGTTTAGGCGAGGCGACACTGTAAAACTGCCTAGTCGCCTAGGCGTCGGCTTGACAACTATGTAGTTAACTTTATTGTTGCCTTGAACCATGTGGTTTCATGCAAACCATTGTGTTACTGAGGTTTGGAGGGAAGCATCAAATTGTTCGTTACAGCTGTTGAAGTACACAGGGAGATTCATCAACATAAGCATGCCAATCAGCATTTCATACAAATACTTGGAAAGAATGAGATAGGGATAGGAGTTTAGGCTTTTTTATTTATTAAAAGACTAAAGTTTTAAACATCTTATTCTGTGATAATTGTGGAGGACAGATACAACAAAAGGAGACTATTACCATGCTTTTATCAAAAAAGGCCATTACCCAATGCTGGTCCTGGCCATCTGGGGTCCAACATTTTTTTCCACACAAAATAGCTGCTATCTTACTCATTCACATTCTGAGATTTTACCATCGCACCAAGTAGTGACCCCCATAACCATATTTTATCTAGAATTCTACATAATAACTTGCATATTTTAGAAGAGTCCTTAATGTAGGTAGTGAAACAAAAATACAAGTTATAATCAGAAACTATCTTTCTTCTAAAATTTAGGACAAACTACTATTACCTATTATGATATATTATATGCATATTTGATGTACTGTAGCTTTATCTACAATTAACCTATGTTACTCAGATACAGCAAGGACATGAATAGATATGTTATCGGAATCAAAATTTACACTAAAAATTGAAGTATTCAACAAGACAGGTACCCTCTTGCCGGTATCCAAATCTCATAGCAATTAAAAGGCTTTATATGGACTAAAAGATTAACAACTTAAAGAGTGCTGGTGATGCTTCCATTGTTAGCTTGTAATGCTCCTTTCAATCACCGAGTGCTCAGGCTTCTCTCTCAGGCCTTTCATTAGTATGGTGTTCCATGTACCTAGGGGTGGATTCGAGCCGAGCCGAATACTTGGCTATTCGAGCTCGACTCACTGAAATAGTGTTAGGCTCGAGCTTGAGCTCGATTCGAGCTAGAGACTTGAGCTCAAGCTCAGCTCAGCTCGAGCTCGACTACAAGTCAAGCTTTTCCTAAAAAGTAAAAATTATACATATAAAAATATTTTTTATTTTACATACAAAAAATAAGAATTATAAAAATTATTTATTATTATACATAAAAAATAAAAAATATTATATATTATTATATATAATAGAAATGATTTATTATATGTATATGTATGTATGTATTATTATATTATATATTATTATATAATTAAAAATCATTTATTTATTATACTAGCTCGATTAGGCTCGCGAGCCTAACGAGCCGAGCTTCACTGGACTTGAGCTCGGCTCAATTAGCAAATGAGCCTATATATCGGGTTCGAGCTCAGCTCGAAGCTTGGTTTAAACCAAGCCAAGCTGAACTCGAATAGCTCGTGAAAAGCTCAGCTGGTGGCCACCCTTATGATGTACCCAAAAAATGTAGTGTTTCAAACTCTATCTGGACTGACCAGTTAGACCAAGAACCAACCTGGATACGGTAAGTTTGGGAATGAGAGTGATTAATGGCCATCATGAAATACTTCGTCTATTTCAGAGATTAGAGTCTAGCCAATAGCTGGATCAAGGAGAATCCTTAGCAGTTTTGTATCCCTTTCATTTCTCCCCCAACCCCCCCCCCTCCCAACCACTACCACAAGTCTGACCAGTCAACTCATTTTAAAGGTCATCCTAATAATAGCACTTGCTTATTGAGAGCCAATTGATCAACCTATTTTCATTTTTTGACACGTATGAATTTAAGCTATCCCAACCCATTGCAAATGGTGAACCTGAAAAAAGAGTTTAAGATTAGGGTTTGAGTCTTGGAATGATGGGAATGTTCCTTCTGGCAGACAGATATGACACTTTCAGGCTTCAAATTCCTGTGAATCTCATTTATATCTTACAAGGGCAGGATATTATGACTCGACAGAGATGAAATTTTGCTTCTTCCTTAGCCAGTTAGCCCCAAAGCAGCTTGTAGCAGATAAATCATGGGCTATGGGGATAACTTGCACAATTTCTTTTTCTTATCTCTTCTTGGCTCAACCAAGACAAACTGCTAAGAGAAGGCAATTTGCCTGATTTTGAATATACAAGTGACACAATTTAATAAGTAGGAAGATGAATTTAATCCTCCCATTGGTCATAAAATCATCTTTCTTCCTACATATGAACTTGTCTTTTTCTGGAATTTCCTCCTCTCAAGGCGCCAAAAGGACAATAATTTAAAATGTTCTCTGAGGCTGTTTTCAGTCTTGAACTGGATCCGCAATGGCCTAGCACATACCAACCATTTTTACATGGGCCTTTCTTTTGTCTTTTTGTCGCATATGATATCATTGATGTTGTGTTAACTATAAGAGAATCAGAGGTTCATAAGTTATGCTATTCTAGATGGGTAAGCCTTCATTTTGACTCCTTTATCCCTTCCTTAATGCTGACACTATCGTGGTGCCACTGCATGCAGACTTTTCTTGATGGAGAACGTGCCACCACATATTTAACCATGGAAGCAAAAAACAAACTGCTTCTAGGGGCTGCTGAAGAGATTACTGGCCGATATTATGAACTGACTTCAGAAGTTGTCAATGTGGTTAGTATTTAGACGCACAGAGCTATTCTTTAGGATTTGAATTGATATCGTTCCTATTTCACGCATTATGATCAACTAACAAGAATTTGGAATTCTTGACCAGGCAAGGAAAACAGAGTCCTCGCTACAGAGGATTCGGCAGGGTGCACAAAGGCGAGCAGGGGCAAGCTCTGACGTATCTGAGCAAAATGTGTCGGACACAGACAAAATCTGTATGCAGTTATTCCTTGATGTTCAGGTATGCATCATTATTTTGTTTGTTCCTTATGGCGTCTCTCTCTTCCTGTCATCCTACTATTTTCCTTGTTCTATTTATATCAGGAATATGGACGCAACCTTTCTGCTCTTGGGGTCGTGGCAACCAACATTCCAACATACCGTTCCCTGTGGCAGTGTGTTGCTCCTTCAGATAGGCAAAATACGATTGAATTCTGATGCGAACTCTAGTTCAAAAGCATTATTCATATATATATATATATATATTTTTCACTTATATAGTGTTCCCGTACATGATTTTGTAGTCTATAATGATTTTGAATTATGTGATCCGTTTTTCTGTTTTGTTTTCTTACTTCTCGTTGTTTTCCGGGTTTGATTGCACTTGCTGATATCACATCCGCCGATCCGCGCCGAGTCGGGATCTTCTGCACTCGTGCACTTCTCTTCATTGTTTTGTGGTACATCTGAATCTCTCGCCCCACACCTTTTTTGGAGAACCAATGCTCTCTTAGAGAAGGTGGGTAAAATACTTGCCCACTTGTCAAAAACACCAAGCGCCTTGTTTCGCATGCTTTATCTAATCCCTGGCCAAGATGAACGCTGTATTTAACTATTTATAATTATCTTAGGTAATGTTTTCCAGGAATCACTCGCCTGGAAAAACGCCTTGTAGGTAACGCAAAATGAACGAGGACTTCCATTCATTCTGATTTCTGAGACAGGTATACCGTTACCTAGGGCTGTTGATGTGTTAGTTCTACATGACGGACCCAAACTGGCCGAGCCTGAGTATTAAGTATTAACGGTTCTGGGACAGGTATCTCATTACATAGGGTTGCCAATGGGTCGGTTTTACATCACATACCCTGACTTACTGGATTGAATATAACGGTTTTGGTTGTTTCAAGTTGACTTAGAATCCAACCAATTATATATTAAATAATGAATATATAATATTTTGGGAAATTGTCTAAAACTCACAATGAGTTTTCAGCATTTCTCTTAAACTCACAACTTTTCAGAATGTCTAAAACATACCATGTCACTAACTTGACGTTAAACAAACTAATGGGTGTTAATATATTATCATTTTAACCTTCATAGAAAAATATAAAATATATACAACATAAATTAATGGGTGTTAATATATTACCATTTTAATATTTAGACATTAAAAAAAAAGGAAAAATTTAAAAAAATATTTTCAAATATAAAATACATAAAACATAGAAATTACAAAAAATATAAAAAAATATAGAAATTTCAAACAAAATAAAAAATTATTTTCAAATTATAGAAACTATAGAAATTGAAAAACAAAATCAGAAAATAACAAATTGTAGAAAAAACACAAGAAATTATAGAAAAACACTGAAATTACAAATAAATAACAAAAAATACAGGAAAACTTATAGATTGTAGAAAATAGAAAATGTAAAAAAACAGAAATTATAAAAAATATTGAAAATTATAACAACACAAAAAATGCAAAAAAAAACAAGAAAATCGAAAACTGAAAAAAGACCATTTTTCCTGTAACTTGTCGCCATTCAAGGGTAATTTGGTTATGAAAATTGTTATTTATGCTGACATGAATGTGAGTTTTGAAAAATAAAAACTTAAGGACATGGTGAGTTTTAGACATTTTGAAAAGTTGTGAGTTTAAGGGAAATGTTGAAAGCTTATGGTGAATTTTAGACAATTTTCCTAATATTTTATGTGTAACATTTATAACGTCCAAAATGGTAATTTTGGTCAGGCTGGGGAGAAAACTTTACCATACAATTACAAATGGGTCAAAGGTCACTTTTATTTTTTATTTTCCCTTTCTGGAGCCTCAAGTCTCAAGGAGTCTTGACTGTTCGGTGCCCTAGCCTAATTTCCTTGTTGGTTTAGTTTTTGACTAGTTTGATTTTTTTTTTTGGTTTTTTGCATATTTATAATATATTCTACAAATAAATATATAAATACTATAAATGTGTATAATATGTGTGTATGTATAATTAACTGTTGTTTTTTATATGTTAACTGAAATACTGAATTGAAACCAAACCAATCGGTTTGGTTAGTTGGATTTTTCAATTTGGTTTTTATAGTTGGATTATTCAATTTGGTTTTCTTGGTTTGGTTATTTTTTTCAGTTATTATTATTATTTTTTTTGGTTTTTAATGAGCACCTCTAGTCACATATGAAGATGTAGTTCAAACAAAGTGCCGCAGTTTTTGACAAAGTATCCAATAACCCCAATTCATGGAAAGGAGAGAGCATTTGTCAATTGAATCCTAAGGCTGTGTTTGGTTTGAAAAGGAAGGAAAAGGTAGAGAAACCTATATAAGGTTTATACACTTTCCCTTCCTTTTCTTACTTTTTTCTTTTAAACCAGACAAAGTCTAAAGATATATGTGGAATCCAAAGGGGTATTCTACAACATGAATACTTTTATTTTCATTTGCTTTGAAATGGTCACATGAACAAAAAACAGCAATATGTTCTTTTTTTTGGTAATTGGAAGATCAAAAGAAACAATAAAACTCAAACAAAAGACGCTAAATCAAAGATAAAAGAAAAACAACAAAAGGGGAAAATTTCATGAGGGAACAAAGATTGAATTCAGCTGCGTTTGATTGCGGTGGAAAAAATCCTTGACGTGAAAGTCATCGATTGGTTTAAAATTTGAATGGACCATTGGAGGATTTTTTTTATGTGAGAATCGATGTAAGTGCATATCAATAAGATTAATGTATCATTTACATTGATTAACGATGCAAAAAATCAATCAATTAGATGTTATAGATCAATTTTTGATAAACTTTACATTGAAAGCAAATACCTAAAAAGTGGAACAAAGTTTTACACTAATCCACTTTTACACTGGAAACAAATACTTGCAAATGTAAACGCCTAAAGCCACGGATGTGACATCAAATTAGTGCTGAAGGCGGCTTTGTTAACTCGAATTCGAATAGCTAGTGAGTGGGCATAAGATCGTGGTCTCTCTTTACATGTCTAAAGATAACCTCAGTACCGGGGTCAACAGACTTTGAATGTCTGTCAAGGCTGAGTGAAAGAGGATGAAACTCCAAAGTTTGTTCTGAGGATAGAAGTTTGATTGCCGTCACCGAGTCAGAGAAAACCACCGCCATTTGTATACTACAAGATAACGCTTTCCGGACCCCAAGCATAATAGCATGAAGCTCGGCCCCATCGTTAATTTGTATACATTGGTCGGATATGGATCTTATCTGACGCCACTCTATTACTATTAGAATAAGAAAAGATAAAAATATTAATTATTCTTAACTTATATATATTACATAAAATTGGATTCGAATTTTATCATATCGGATGGGTCAAATCTGCCTCTGATCCGATTACTAAATGGACGCAGGTTTTAACATTCGGTGATCGGATGTCGGATGATGTATCGACCTTCGGAGTCGGTTTGGATATTCAGTTTGACTCGGACCACTGGCAGCCAACAGCCATGGACCGGGCAACGGGCTAGGGAAAAAGAAGGTTTGCAAATTGCAAATTGCAAATGCAATTTCATCGCAGCCCGCGTTTCTGAGATGGAAAGGAAACTATGAATCCAGAAAGAGAACACAAGACAAACGAGTAAAAAAAGAGCCGCTCTCGACAAATCTGAGGAAAACAAGACAAACGAGTAAAAAAAGGAAATCGAGTGACGGAAGAAGACCAGTGGAACTCAGAGCACTACTGACGGCGGCCATTACCTAAACACTAAAGAGTAAGAGGTCGTTTACTTGTCTTCGCAACAATGTTTGGAACTCCGGCATCCTCTCCGGGGTTCGGAACTCCCTCAACACCCTCGTTCTCTCCTGCCTTCGGCTCGTCCCTATTCTCTACTCCTTTCTCCCAGCAGCAGCAGCAGCAGCAGCAGCAGCAGCAGCAACAACAACAACAACAACAACAACAGTCTCCATTGTTTCAGCAACCAAGCACTGGCTTTGGCTTTCAGACTTCTTTTGCCACTCCTCAATTGACTCCGCTTTCCCAATCAACTCCTTTGCCCCTCGCAAATGCTCAATTGACAACTCAAATGGCGCCCGTTGCCCCTCTACCTTTCTCCCTCGCCGATCGCGACATCCAGGTGCTGTTCTTTCTTCGTGAAACCCTAACCCTAGCACTTCTGCTATTTGCACATTTGAGAACGAAGATGCGAATAACCATGCTCTCTTTATGCTGTTCTTCTTAGGCGATTGTTGATGCGTACAAAGACGAACCAGGAAATCCCAAGTACGCATTCAAGGTTCATTTCCCCGTTTCTCTATGTTGGAAATTTTGAATGCAGGATTTCCCGCCATTTTTAGGGTTTGAGTCTTTAGGAGAATTGACATGCGGTTTTTGCAGCATTTGCTGTTCAGTGTGACCAATCCGGCCGCTAGAACGAAGCCTGCTGGCATCTCAGATGTGAGTTATCTTTGTTCTGTTTTCTATCTCGCCACTTCTACCGAAGCCGTAGAAACTTTGAGATTTTGAAGTTTTTGGTTCATAAATGAAACTTAATTGTGTTTCAGATCATGTGGGCCGAGGCTATGGGGAAGCTGGAAGGTATGGAGAGTGTTGATCGAGAAAGACTCTGGCCTCAGCTTGTTCAGGGTTTCAAAGATCTTTCCAATCGGCTTAAGGTAGTTCTTTTTGATTCTAAGTGTTTCTTGGATACATTCACATTTGTTTGGATTTCGTTGTTAGTTTTATATGCGTATTTCACTCTTCTTTTCTCCTCCAAGATGCCTTTTGATAGAATAAAGACAAAATAGTAATGAAGATTGCGCTAATGTAAAATTATGCATACTTGATACCGTTGTGGTTTTGGAGAAAAATTTCAGTTTCCTTAACAAGTTTTTGGGGAAATCTGTCGTATTTCTTTTTCACTAATCACCTTATACCGTAATGATGATTTACAATGTTCAACATCAAAATTATCAACTTAATTGGTCATAGTACTTTCTTGACTTATAAGCACTTGCCTTATTCTGCAAACATGAAACTAAGGCTGCAGTGCCACTTCTGTTAAGTTCCAAGTATCCGATATAATTTTCAACTTATAATGGTGAATTTTCTTATGGTGAGGACTGAGGAAAAACCTGCTCATCAATCCTAAGTTTCTTAGGGCTTGAGATGTTTTTTTTTTTTTTTTTTTTGCTTCATGGGGCTACACAACAGGGGTAGCCCATCCCCTTTCCCTTAACCCCCCAACCCCTGGTGGCAGCGGGATTTGAAAAGGTTCACTAAGTAAAGCAGCAGAGATAAACTCTTGTGCATTCATTAAGAACTACAATTTTGTTTTTGTACTCTAGACTTCAAGTAGGACTTTGCACACATCCCTTTCATTGTCCTTGGTTTGTTATTCCATATTGAAAACTTGCAATGAATATTGAAGGTGTAAAGATGGTGTCCGGTCATCGAATCAGCTTTTCTAGTCACATTTTCATCAAGTGTAACTTAACTCCAGCCTCATTGGCTTGAGTGAGGTATTTTATTTCTTTTTGCAGTTGAACATTGAATAAATTATTGGAGTGGCATGAGTATTCTCTTCCAGCCCCAGGAATAAAGTTCAGCTGGAATTCCCTCTGATATTTTCCTGTCCAGATAGGAGTCAACCTCTTCCAAGGATTAATACTGCACAAGTAGTTGGAACAATATGAACATTCTTCTGGAGGAATCACTTCAGCTGAAAGGTCTTCTACTTTGTTATCCTTGCCTGTCTGAATGGAGAGTTCAGTCCAAAGGTGTTTAGGTGCTATAGCAGTAGAAATTAATTTTAAAATCTGTGTATAGCTAGCAAGGGCATGTGAGTGCCTTATGTATAATGAAGTCTACAAACTGGACAGGAAAGATGGAGAAACCATATGGTGGAGATTAGGGAAGGATAGAGGGGGAGTAGGTTTAGCTTTGAGTTGCATTGCAGTTGGCAATAGGAACTGGGCAAGAAGAGAGGCAAGAAAATCCCTTTTAGGTTTAGTTGCCAATTGCCCTCTTGATGGATAGAGGCACTACCAAATGACAGTCCCGGCTATCTTGGGTCTTTAGAGGGGTAGACCGGATATCAACTAATCTTTGGCATTTTTTACCCCGTGTAAAGTGGCTACTCTAATGACTCTAAGGGCCTATTCGTTTCCTCTTAACTCTTATCTCTTAAGAGGAATCTTTTAACTTTAAGAGAAAAATGGTTGTTCGTTTCCTCTTATCTCTTATCTCTTAAAGTGCAATCATACAACTTTTTGTTTTCCAATGATACCCCCAAAAAGACAAACAAAAACTCTCATATATGGGGTCAAAATGGATATTTGATAATTTTCAGAATTCAGAATTCAGAACAACATTCCCTGCATTCAGAGTTCAGAGGAAAGAAAAGTTCATCAATACCAATATACCTCTTAATGTAATTATTGTACTTTCAGATGTCAGACTTCAAAGCAAACGAACAGGCCCTAACTCAAGTTCTTATGCCTGCCCGCCTGAGATTTTGTTATTGCACCAAGCAATGGCCCCTAATTGCCCTGTTGATAGATGGCATGATTTAGTTGCATTTCCTTTTCTAGCTGATAACTCTATTACCCTATTTATTGTCTGTATAAAACTCATAGTTGTCAAGGCAATGTCTAGGCTATGATGCAATTTTTTGGGGTCAGCTTTAGCCCTGCCCATATAAGATCATTTTTCTATTTAGAGAGCCAAGGGTTTGTGGTAAACAAGAACATTGATGGGGAAGTAGTGTATCCACCGTGCTAGGTCTCTAACCTTCAACATGGTATTCATCATAACAGACCTTTTCTTTCAATATCTGTAAGTAAAATTGATGCAGGAGCAAAGAAGCCAAACCTGTTTCTTTTTTTTTTTTGAAATTTTAATATTTTTATATTTTTAGATAGTAGGGGTATTTTGGTCATTTCATATGTTACCTGTGGGGGTCTGGCCATATTTTAGTTTTATTTAATTTCAAAACCATTGGTTAAGTAGCATAGTGCTTATTTACTTCTCTTATGGAATGGCAAGTTTGTAATCTTTTTTTTTTGTTTTTCCTAGTTGTAGGCTGTGTTTGGTAGTCCTTTTAAAAAGGACTTTACTCGATTATATGGGGTCAGTTGTATGAATCCTGTTCTGCCATTTCGTTCTGTTCATTGCCAAACTCTGCCAGTGTAAGTTTGTCTTACACCACAGGTCCCAAGCCTGGACAAAGGAGGAGGGTTGCATCTGTTTGGTTGCCGACAGTAAAACCTTCTCCAAACTCTTATGGTCATGAATCCTGAAAAAGGACTTTTCTCTTTCTAGCAGTCATAAAAGGAGAAAAATCCGGTTTGTGCCATTCAGTAAGAATAATCTTATTTTACCTTTTTCAATAAAAAAAAGTTAAAATTTGAGGATATCAAGGAGGTTGAAGCTCCTTTATTTAGCTTATTTAGATGTTAGTTTCAAGTATAAATCTCTTTACAAAGTTGTCCTCAATATTTTATAGCCAGTATTGTCCCTAAAATATTAGGCTGCCTTTTTACTCTTTTATATTTGAGAACCCTCTTTACTATTGGTGCTGCTATGTGTTCTCCCTATTGACATCACTTCCATTGTGGTCTCCAATAGCTGTCAACTGCTGCTACCATTGTCTCCATGTCTCTTCCATTGAAGTAGGTACTTTTGGTGTTCTTTGCCTTTGTGTTTTCTGGCATTGCTACTGAGTGTTGGTGTGTTCTCTAACTAGATGATTCTAAGCATGAAAATGTTTGGATTGCCTACTAATAATGCAAACTGCTTCAAAGCAGAGTTATTACTTATTACAGGACCCCAAACAGAAGTTGCGGAAGTAGATTACTTGATTAATGAGACTATGCATGAATATGTGTTTGTACTTGAGCTTATGTCTATACCAGAGAATAGTATTAATTTTAGTTTCATTTACAATCTCTGCCCAAGACTTGCAGAGTTGCAGGTTCAGCAAGGCCTGCAAATTAGTTGCATTGAGCAGCAGGTGATGACATGGTTATTTACAATCTCAGATCAGGCCTTGTAGGTTCAGCTCATAAAACAGTATCTATTATGGGCTTTTTCTTTGACACTAGATGACAACATGGTGCACAGGGTTGGTGTTATGTGCCCATTAGTGGTCCATGCATTAGGTGTGATGTCAGTTGGGTTGTTATTTGTACATACATAAAAATGGAGTCAGTGTGTAAAGTGGAGTTTGTGAACATGGATTTTGGGGTCAGTTAAGAGACGATTTGTGTTTAGAAAGTTGGGGAAGAGTCCAATTTGTGAGTGGAGTCATGGAGTCATGGGTAAATTTCATTTCCAGAAAATGATCATTAAAGAAAATTACCTTTAACCATTGCACTTTTGTTGGAGGTTTCTCATCTCCCTCGAAGTAGACGATACAACTGTTACGTCCTTTTGGGAGCGTAACATTTGCTTTCAGAGCTAGGTATGGCACCCGGATTTGAACACCACATCATCCAGTTGCAAGAAAAGATGGCTTCACTGGTGCCTGGCCAGAAAAGGATGAACAAGCAGTTCACTCTAGTGTTTTAATATCTAGTTGCTAGATTTGATTAGCTGGGGACTTCACTATTAAGGGAGAAGCCAGTGGAAGCCAAAAAGGCAGCTGAAGAAGTCCCTATTGCCCTAGCCAAACCAGAGAAGAAAGAGGAAGATGTAGTTTCTGCACCATCTCCACCACGAAGGAGGTCCCCATGAAGGGATGAGAGATCCATCATATGGATGGCCGAACCCTACAGGAAGGTTGGGCGAAATTTCAAAAAAATTTCCCTCTCCCATGTGGGTATCACATTCCCTATTTTAGAAAACTGTATTTTCAAGGATCAATCTTGAACCTAAACCAGACCAGATTTGAAACCAAAACAGAGTGGAGGGATATACCTGATACGAAGTAGTAATAACCTCCAATGAAGGTGTTCACGCTCAAGGAAAGATCCAAAGACTGCTTCCACCGAAGATGACATGGTGCAGGATGAAGCAGAATCAGTAGGATGGTTCTTCAGCAAGAACCGAATTCTTCAGCAAGAATCTGATGGAGGTCTAGTGAGCACGACTTCAGATTACCTTTTCTGCCAAAGGGTAATATCAAGAACTCTTCTTGATCGCTCCCATAGGTGGAGATCGAACTGGTATGGCGGCAAGAGCAGGAGAGAAGGAGACAGTGCAGTCAAACTGTGTTCTCTTTTTGGAAATCAGCAGTCACTCAGCTGATTTCTGTTGTCTGTTGAGGGTTCGCCCTTCTCTCCAATTTATAGCCTTAAAGAGAGGTTCTCCTAATCCCATTAGGAGTTTCCTAATCCAAATCTTGTATTTGGATCTGGACTTTCTTTAAGAGATAAGGATAATCCCTTATCTTATCTGCAGATAAAGATCAACCCTCCTAATCTAATTAGAAGTTTTCTGATCCAAATCTTTATTTGGATCTGGACTCTCTGAGTGGATAGAGATAACCCCTTATCCTATCTGCTGATCTAAATCCCAGAACCGCCCTCTTTTAATTAATCTCATTAAGCCAGTTCGAATTGGGCTTTAGGCCCATTAAGTCCATCTGCTCACTTACCCTCCAAACTGCTGCCTAGTTGGATATCCTTGTATGGTTTGCGACCCAAACATTGATCTACACATCAGCCACATGGGT